TGATGTAGGTTGTCTATTATTGTTCATTTTAGTTTTCCTAGGTTGAGCCTTAGGTTGTTTAGGTGGTTGCTCAACTTTTTCCTTATTATTAGTTTCATTTTCAAATCCTAAGCCATGTTTAGTAAGTTGCAAATTATCAAGAACATCATTGAGATTTTTATGAGAAACACCAAACTTCTTTAAGGTTCCTTCAAGTTTTGCAACTTGTTCTTTAAGTGATGTACAAGAACTACATTTTGAACTCTCCGGTTTGTCGGCGCTTCTTTTTCCGAAAAACTTATTTTCTTCTTTAAGTTTTTCATTATCTTTTGATAATTTATCAACCTCCTTCTCCATGGAAGTAAGTTGTTTCTTTAAATCCTTGTTAATTTTAGAAGCATTGACATATTCATCATAGAGTTCATTAAAAGCTTCTTGTACATCATCTAAAGTATGAGAATCTTTAGAAGTGGTACATTCCTCTTCCGGTGGTTCCTCGTGTGCCATGAGGCAAAGTTTGGCGCTTTCATTTTCTTCGCCTTCCGATGATTCGTCACCGGAATCACCTCCCCATGAGATGTAAGCTCGGTGCTTCTTGAACGGTTTCTTCTCCTTCTCGTTTTTGGCATTTGGGCATTTTGGTTTGATATGCCCAACTTCTCCACAGACATAGCACTTGGGTGGTCCTCCGTGCTTTTTGCCCTTTCGTTCATACTCCTTGCGCATGAACTTGTGGAATTTCTTGATAACGTGCCCGAACTCGTTGTCTTCATCGCTCGATTCCTCCATGGCGGGTTCTTGGCTTGAGGAAGCCTAAAGTGCAATCCCCTTCTTCTTTTGTTCACCTAAAGAGGGGAATAAAATGGTAGACTCATAGGTTTTGAGGTTACCTCTAAGCCCGTCAATGATGACGTTGGTGATTCCAATGTACTCTTGGATGGCATCGGCTTTGGAGCGCCACTCCGGTGTGAGACTTCACAGGATTTTTCTCACAAGCTCCTTGTCCGTGTACGTCTTCTTGAGTGCATGGAGATCATTGACGATTTTGGAGAATCGTTCAAACATCTCATCGATTTTCTCATTCTCCTTCATACGAAACAATTCATATTCATGGGTTAGAAAATCAATTTTAGCTTCTCGGACTTGATCCGTACCTTCGTAGGTGATTTCTAGTTTGTCCCAAATTTCCTTCGCGGTGGTGCAACAAGAGATCTTCCGGTAGTCATCCGGGTTTACGGCACAATAGATGATATTGATGGCCTTGGCATTGTTTTCCACTTTCTTGATGTCTTGTGCATCATACTCATTCTCGGTCTTAGGGACGTTGGTTTCCCCGACCTTCTTCATTGGCACGTCTTCACCATTTTTGATAATTCTCCAAAGGAGAAAGTTGGTGGATTGGATGTAAATCCTCATCCGCTCCTTCCAGTAGGTGTAGTTCGTTCCGTCAAACAACGGAGGCCTTGTGGTTTATTGCCCTTCACCTAAACCTGCGTATGAACTTTAAGTAGAAGCCATTGATCGTTTCTCTCAAACGGTTAAGTCTTACAGAGAGTAAGGCTCTGATACCAATTGTTAGAATAAAGGCCCAACGCTAGAGGGGGGGTGAATAGCGTTTAAAACAAAATCGCAGGAAATTAAAAACGAGAGTGATAAAGTAAAGAGCGTAAGGAAGGAGCACACCGAATTTTATCCTGGTTCACCACAACGTGTGGCTAATCCAGCCTCCCGAGACACTCTCTCGAGCTACACTAACTCCGTTAAGCTTAAGGGTGCTTAACAAACCGATACAACTTGAGAACCCGAGTCACACGAGCCTCAACGCCTTTGCTCGGAGATACCGCACTCCAAGACTTTTCACGAAGGAACAAAGAACTTCCTTCGAGTTTACAACAAGGGAAAACCTCCCTTAAAGTGTATGAAAACACTTAAACACTCAGGAATAACTCTCACAAAGAGTAGATATGAGTGAACTAGTAAACGCTCAAGAACACTGACAATTTCTTTAAGAATTGGCTCTCAAATAGCTAAGAAAATTAGGAATGCTTATGCAATGAAAGAGTATTGAAATGTTGAAGAATTGTGTGTAAAATGAGATGATCTGGGGGCCATTTTATAGCCCAAAATGGGATAAACCCGTTGCTAGAATTTCCAACAGGATGAAGACAAATTTTTTAGAGACACAGGGTGATAGTCCATTGTCAAAGCCTGATAATCGATTATCAAAAGATTCCCTGTCCAAAAAATTAAAATTCTATCCGTTGGAGGACAACGGTAACCCAGATAATCGATTGTCAACAAGTGATAATCGATTATTGGTCCTCTCAGAAAATTCTGGGTTTTGGCTGCAAAAGCTGATAATC